CTCCACGGGCTTCTCCCTGCCCCGTGCGCCTGCCCTGTGTGCCTGCCCTCAACAGAGGGGGCCTGGAGAAAGAGGCCACTTGTATATATTGCTATAGCGACCATTCATGGGACACTCTTCCTGGCACCAGCATAGTGCTTTTTGGTGCCATTTTGTGTCTCCTCTTCATAACAATGCTAGGAAAGACCTGTGACTAGCCTGACTTGTAAATGAAGACACAAAGGCCTCAGGAGAGAAACGACCTGGCCAGAGTCACATAGCTGGTAAGTGGTAGAGCAAAGACTGGAACCCAATGCTGTTTGACCCCAAAATCTGTGCTTTTAGTGCCATGATGTATTAGTTTTAAAGAGGAACCTTTTGAGTATTGATAACTGATGAATCTATGTTTACACGGCGGTTTCATTATTTCTCCGAAAAAGTAACTTTTAAGACTTGGTGATATAAAGATCTATAAATATACACAGAAATAAATTTTTTAAAAAAGTAGAGTGTAAAATGTGAAAAATCATTTTCTTTTCTTTTTTTTTTTTTTTTTTTTGAGGCAGGGTTTTGCTCTGTCTCCCAGGCTGGTGTGCAGTGGCAAGATCTTGGCTCACTACAGCCTTGACCTCCCAGGCTCAAGCAATCCTCCCACCTCAGCCTCCTGAGCAGCTGGAACTAGTACAGGTGTATAGCCACCACACCCAGCTAATTTTTATATTTTTGGTAAAGACAGGGTTTTGCCATGTTGCCCAGGCTGGTCTCAAACTCTTGGGCTCAAGTGGTCCGCCCACCTCGGCCTCCCGGAGTGCTGGGATCAGAGGTGTGAGCCACCGTACCAGGCCTGAAAAATCATTTTCTTCCCTATCCCTCTAATCCCTAAAGGATAATACAGAGGACAGTCTGGTGTGTATCTTTTATTTTAAATATATTTACATATATATACGTATATACACACACACAGTCTTTTTAAAGAAGTGGGAGTATACTATACATACCATTCAGTGCCTTTTTTTTACTTAATATGTCTTAGTTAGTTCATATAGATGGGTCAGTACATAGAGATTTTTCTCACTCTCAAGGGCTGTACAGTATCTTATGGTTATATTGTGATTGATTTTACCAGTCCCCTGTAGATGAACATTAAGATACTGCCCATTTTTTGCCAGTACAAACTGCTGCAGTGAACATGCTTATGCATACATCTTTGTGCATATGTGCAGGTGTTTCTTTAGGGAATTCCTTTAAGGAATTACTGGATCAAACAATGTATGCATTTAAAAATTTGAAGGTACTGCCCTCCATGAGGCTATATGAATTTTTACTCACCAATCTTATGCTGTGACTTTGGAATATGCCAGCAATCTCTTTTGGAAAGAGGTAGGATATAAATAATAAATAATGCTTTTTAAAAACAGCCCTCTGGCTGGGCGCAGCAGCTCACACCTATAATCCCAGCACTTTGGAAGGCTGAGGCAAGCGGATCACGTGAGGTCAGGAGTTTGAGATCAGCCTGGCCAACGTAGTGAAACCTCATCCCTACTAAAAATATAAAATTAGCCAGGTGTGGTAGTGCACACCTGTAATCCTAGCTATTCAGGAGGCTGAGGCTGGAGAATCACTTGAACCTGGGAGGCAGAGGTTGCAGTGAGCCAAGATCATGCCATTGCACTCCACCCTGGCAACAGAGCAAGACTCCATCTTTAAAAAAAAAAACAGCCCTCATCCAGATAGTGGAGTCACTTGGTACTAAAGAAATTACTAGTTCTTAGTCCCAGACCACAAGGCATACCTGCAATCCCAGCCATGACTTGCTAATTCAATGCATGCCATCTCTAGGGAGGCAGCAGAAAGCAGGACTGAACTTTCAGTCTTGGCAGAAAAATGCCAGCTGATGATGTCTTGCTTACCTTGGTTACACCAGCTCTGGGCCCCACCTGCCTGGCCTGATTTGAAGGCAAACTGCCTGGCTACTCTGGGACTGCCCTGGAAAACAGCCACTGTCACACCTCTTACGGGGAGGAAAACAGCCAGCTGGAGGGAGTCAGCTCTGAGCTGGGGGGAAAGGAAGGCTGGCCCTTCTGCTTTTGGTGTCGGGATTACTATTTAATGCTGTAGTCCTCTGTTTTCCTTCTTCCCCCAAATAAAGTGTGAGTATATGTAATTTTCAAAAGACATTTTACAAGAGCCTTTCCCCACACCTCAAAAAATTTGATGTGGAAAGACAGATTGGAGGTTACACCCCTAATTTTTCCTACCCCTTTAAAAAAATGAAATTATAGGCCGGGCGCGGTGGCTCAAGCCTGTAATCCCAGCACTTTGGGAGGCCGAGGCGGGCAGATCACGAGGTCAGGAGATCGAGACCATCCTGGCTAACACGGTGAAACTCCGTCTCTACTAAAAATACAAAAAATTAGCCGGGCGAGGTGGCGGGTGCCTGTAGTCCCAGCTACTCGGGAGGCTGAGGCAGGAGAATGGCGTAAACCTGGGAGGTGGAGCTTGCAGTGAGCCGAGATCGCACCACTGCACTCCAGCCTGGGAGACTGAGCGAGACTCCGTCTCAAAAAAAAAAAAAAAAAAAATTATATATATTTCCTTCCCTTTACCTTTCCTTTCTTTATTTCCTTCTTCTCTTGTTTCATTCCTTTCCCCGCACCACCCCTCCCCCTTCCCCCCCGCCCCCCCGCCCCCCCCCGCTTTCTTACAGTCTCACTCTGTCACCCCTCGAACTCCTGGCCTCAAGCGATCCTCTGACCTTGGCCTCCCAAAGTGTTGGTATTACAGGTATGAGCCACTGTGCCCAGCCCGTCTATTCCTTTTAACCAAAATTCATAGGTAGCACCCAGAGAGAGTACAAGTTCTGACTCATGTGGCAGTATTTAATTAAAAAAAAAAAAAAAGCCAGGCGTGGTAGTTCACGCCTGTAATCCCAGCACTTTGGGAGGCTGAGGCAGGTGGATCACCTGAGGTCAGGAGTTCGAGGCAAGCCTGACCAACATGGTGAAACCCCGTCTCTGCTAAAAATACAAAAATTAGCTAGGTGTGCTGGCAGGCACCTGTAATCCCAGCTACTCGGGAGGCTGAGGCAGGAGAATCGCTTAAACCTGGGAGGTGGAGGTTGCTGTGAGCCAAGATTGTGCCACTGTACTCCAGCCTGGGTGACAGAGTGAGACTCTGTCTCAAATAAATAAATAAATAAATAAATAATAAAATAAAATTAAAAAAAAAAAAAAAGGCCAAGTGCGGCCAACACTTCGGGAGGCCAAGGCAGGTGGATCACAAGGTCAGAAGATTGAGACCAGCCTGTCCAACATGGTGAAACCCTGTCTCTACTAAAAATACAAAAATGAGCTGGGTATAGTGGCACATGCCTGTAATCCCAGCTACTTGGGATGAAGAGGCAGGAGAATCGCTTGAACCCAGGAGGTGGAGGTTGCAGTAAGCTAAGATTGCGCCACCGCACTCCAGTGCGGGCGACAGAGTGAGACCCGTCAGAAAAAAAAAAAAAAATTTGATTAAGTTTGAGGTTGCTTTTAAATTTTAAAAGGAAGTAAGACAACTTTGGCATAGAGTTTGCCTTCCAGACACAGATCCAAAGGTATTTTCTTTTTTCTTTCTTTTTTTTTTGTTCTTTTTGAGACAGAGTCTTGCTCTGTTGCCAGGCTGGAGTGCAGTGGCGTGATCTCAGCTTACTGCAACCTCCGTCTCCCAGGTTCAAGCAATTCTCCTGCCTCAGCCTCCCGAGTAGCCAGGACTACAGGCGTGTGCCACCACGCCTGGCTAATTTTTGTATTTTTAGTAGAGGCGGGGTTTCACCATATTGGTCAGGCTGGTATCGAACTACTGATCTTGTGATCTGCCCGCCTCGGCCTCCCAAAGTGCTGGGATTACAGCCGTGAGCCACTGCACCTGGCCGGTATTTTCTTTTTAAAAAAGTATACAAGGCCAGGCGCGGTGGTTCATGCCTGTAATCCTAGCACTTTGGGAGGCCTAGGCAGGTGGATCACGAGGTCAGGAGATCGAGACCATCCTGGCTAACACGGTGAAACCCCGTCTCTACTAAAAATAGAAAAAATGAGCCGGGCATGGTGGCGGGTGCCTATAGTCCTGGCTACTTGGGAGGCTGAGGCAGGAGAATGGCGTGAACCTGGGAGGTGGAGCTTGCAGTGAGCCGATTGCGCCATTGCACTCCAGCCTAGGTGACAGAGTGAGACTCCGTCTCAAAAAAAAAAAAAGAAAAAGTATACAAGCAGCCCATGATTATATGTTTGAGATAAAACAGTACAGAAAAAAACAGTACAGAAGTAGTTCTAAAATGTCAAAAGTGAATATATTTCCTTTAGCCTCTTCTGATACTCTCCTCCCCAGAGGTAATCAAGGTTAATGTTTTAATGTATATCCAGACCTCTTCCTTTACAATTACAAATACATATTTATATCTATATCTATGTCTGTCTGTCTAGTTTTTTTTTTTTTTAGATGGTCTCACTCCCATGGCCCAGGCTAAAGTACAGTGGTGTGATCACAGCTCACACAGCCTTGACTTCCTGGGCTCTGGTGATTCTCCCACCTCAGCCTCCTGAGTAGCTGGGACTACTGGCATGCACCACCACGCCCAGCTAATTTTTGTATTTTTAGTAGTGACGGGGTTTTGCCATGTTGCCCAGGCTGGTCTCAAACTCCTGGGCTCAAGCAATCTGCTCACCTTGGCCTCCCAAAGTGCTGGGATTACAGGCATGAGCCACCACACTCAGCCCACATCTAAATATTTATATACTTTCCATGTTAAATAAATGGGATTCTCAGCAGGATGCGGTGAGCTGTGATTGTGCCACTGCACTCCAGCCTGGGTGACAAGAGTGAGGCCCTGTCTTAAATAAATAAATAAATAAATAGGATTCTGTGCCTTGCTTTTTGCCCCACTTAGTATATGTTTGAGATCTTTCCATACATATATATATATATATCTATATATATATATATATATCTCATTTTTAAAAAACAGTTCTATGTAACATGAATGGATACAAATGTAATATATTGAAATTTTTCAATATTATAAATCTCTGTGCATACATGTAGGGTATATTCCTGGATGTGGAATTGCAGGTGAGGAGGTTACATTTGCCATCATCCCTAGAAAGAAAAAAGCCAGGGTCCAAGTAACTAATCTTGGTGCTATGAGAACAAAGTTTCCGTAAACAAGTATATGAGAAATGGCCACATGCTAAACCACCCTCTTGGCCATTCACAATCAAGTAGCATATTAAAAGTTCTGGAAATTCTTCAGTAACCACTCTGTTGAGTGGTTTAACAAGAGTTGTTTGCAAAAGGAAAGACTTTAATTCTTTGTACACATTTATTAAAGTCTCCCTGAACAGTTAGTTAAATGCCACCATATGCTAATCTCTCAAAGACAGTACAGCATTTGGGTAGGAACTTGGCCACACACTGTGCCACCCAGTTGGGCAGCTGGGGTGGGGTCAAGTGTGGACTTTGTCCAGGAACCAAGAGATGCCTGTCTTGGTGGCTTTGGTGAGAGGGACTCAGCAAGGAAGGCCTGGCAAGAATGTCAGGAGGCTCTAGGGGAGGGTTGCAAATTTACTCTAGCCTGGCTGAGAGGTGACATCAGACCTAGCAGACACACTGCATCAATCAGGCCCAGGCCTCCAACACAGAGCAGCACAGATCTAGAATCCCTAGAGAAGGAGCCCCTTGGGGTGGAAAAGGGTAGACCATATCCCCCTGTTGACCCACTTCTGGCCAACTGGTGAGGTCATGGCTAACTTTCAAAACTCAGTGTGGATGTTGCCTCTGTGAAATCTTCCCAAGCCCTCAGGCTGTTACAGCCCGGTCAGTATAAACCACTCCTGTGTGTTCTCCTAGCACCTTTGCTGCATCTCTTAGTGCAGTCAGTGAGTCTAGTTTGTCTTCCAGTTCATACTAACCTGCCTTGTGAAGAGGAAGGGTCACATAACGAATTGTGTGCTTCACAGTCTTCTCTAACAAAAGTGGGAGCTCCTCCACAGTGGGATACTGTCCAGGCTCTCATTCAGTCATTACTGAGCACCTACCACTTGTCAGGCATTAGCTGAACTGCTGGGAATTCAGGGGTGAGGCAGACCCAATCCCTGCCCTCACTCTTACATCTCCTGTAGCCTAGCCCAATGTCTAGCCTAGGGCCTGGCACAGTGGGGCTTACGGATGGCAATCTCATTGGAAAGTTTGTTTTGAAACTGCCTTTGCAAAACAAGCAGTGCTTTAACTTACCTTCTATGCTAAATGTATTTAGAAACATTTTCTCAAGATGCATTGTCCACTAATAGTTTAGTGTTGAAGAACAGGTCTTGGGTCAGATGGACCTGGATTCAAATCCTTGTTCCCTGCTCTTACTGCTTGAGGGACTTTGGACATATTACTTGACTCCTCTGAACTTGAGCTTCCTGATCTGTAAAATGGAGACAGTAACACCGCACAGAGTTGTTGTGAGGGGAGGAGCCTGCCCTATAGCAAGTGTCCTGCCACATAGCAAGTGAGCAGTAAACACTGGCCATTCTTCTTGTTGGTGTGATTACTGGGAATTGGTTGCCATTGTGATGTTGGGACTGGTGATGGAACTCTTGGATTGAGAATGCCGAGATGGTGCACTGAAGATTCTGTGTGCTCTTTCAGACCAGGAGGAGGATGAGGAGGAGGAAAGTTTATATGACGTAAATTCATTTGACCGTAACATATATATTTAAACATCGTGGACGACCTTGGGGGCCTGATGGGGAGTGGGGATGCTAAGGCTCCAGCCACCCCTAGGCCCTCCACCTGGCAGGACCAAAGTTGGGGCAGTACCCGCAGCACCGCCCCCCGGGCCCCGCAGGAGTGTGCAGTCACCTTGTTAGGCCTATGTTGGCTGGCCCATCACTCCTGGCCTGCAGTCTCCCAACCCTGTGGCGGCAGCAGCAGCATTCCCTGAATGGAAAGGCTGCCTTGGTGTCGTCTGCTGAGTTGCTATAGGAGTCAGCCCAGGGCTGCTCACGTGCACCTCAGGTTGCTGATGGCAGCTCTAGTTATTTGGCGATGGAAGTTTGGGAGGCGTGGGCCTTGGTCCATTCTGTGCGAAAGGGAATTCCACCGCCCACCGGGCCCCCGCTCCCGCCCCCGGCCCCGCCCCGCTCAGCCCCGGGCCCCGCCCCCTCCCCGCCCGGCCCCGGGCCCCGGGCCCCGGCCCCGGGCCCCGCCCCCGCTCTCCATAGTTACCGCGCTGTGGAGGCGGCGGCCATCTTGGCTGCGGAGCGATGAGCGGGTCTAACCCGAAGGCTGCGGCCGCGGCTTCGGCGGCTGGACCCGGGGGGCTGGTGGCTGGCAAGGAGGAGAAGAAGAAGGCGGGCGGCGGCGTCCTGAACCGTCTGAAGGCGCGGCGGCAGGCGCCCCACCACGCGGCCGACGACGGCGTCGGGGCAGCGGTCACGGAGCAGGAGCTGCTGGCGCTGGACACCATCCGGCCCGAGCACGTCCTGCGCCTCAGCCGAGTCACCGAGAGTGAGTGCCGCGCGGGCCGCGCCCTCCCCTCGCGCCGTGCCCCGGCTCCCGGAGCCTTCAGCGGACCCGGCCACTCGACCAGCTCGCGGGTCCCCCCAGACCCCCTCGGCCGGCCGGGCTGCACTTCCCGCTGCCCCGCCGGCCGGGCTCTGCCCCCGCCACGCTCACGTTGCTCTGGTGGGGAAGGACTCTCCTGGGCTTGACCTCATTCCTGTGAGTCCGGCCACGCTAGGATGCCCCTCGGCCGGTCGGCTCCCTAGTTCTGCCGGACCTGTTTGCGTAGAGGGCCCCGTTCAGCTGAACTGAACCCTCCTGAGCCGGCCGGGGGCCGAGGTCCCCTCATAAATGGGCCCTTGGACCCTCAGCCTGGAACCCCCGGCCATCCGTGAAGTTAGCGCTCAGCCAGGCGCCCCAGCCCTCTGGCAGGCCAGAAGCCTTACCTGCTTCCTCCGCCGGCCCCATTGCAGCCCTCCCCCATTGCAGCCCTCCCCCATTGCAGCCCTCCCCCATTGCAGCCCTCCCCCATTGCAGCCCTCCCCCATTGCAGCCCTCCCCCATTGCAGCCTGCCGGGCCTCCCTCCCGCTTTGGGTCCGGAGCGTTGCCCCTTAGTGTGCAGGTGGGTTCTTCCTCAGACACATAGCCGTGGCATTTCCTGCTCATTTAAAACTGTGCCACATTAAAACAAAAATAAAGTTTCAGTTTGTGTACAAACTCCGACGTGTGAATCCTGCTTTTGACATTCTCGTGAATTAAGAATGATTTCAGGGTTTCAGAAATGCGTTTTCTGCACAAAAGGCAACCATCCTAAGCTTTTTCGTTGATAGGAGGATGGGTGGGAAGAAAAATGTTGCCCAGTCCCTGCCCTGGGTGATCTGGTGATCTCCCTTTTTCTGTTCTCTGCCAAGCCAGTCCCCGAGTTGACGTCTTTTCTCTTGCTGCTGTTTTCCCTGCAGGAGTGTGCACTCACCTGGTTAGGCCCATCTTGGCCTGCCCATCACTCCTGGCTTGCAGTCTCCTAACCCTGTGGCAGCAGCAGCATTCCCTGGATGGATCGAAGGCTGCCATGGTGTCTGCTGAACTGCTATAGCAGGCAGCCCAGGGCTGTTCAGGTTCACCTCAGATTGCCGATGGCAGCTCTAGTAATTTGGGAATGGAAGTTTGTGGGGAGTGGGCCTTGGTCCACCCAGCGAAAGGGAATTCCCATCTCCTAAAAGAGTTTTAATTTGATTCTAGATATTTGGATGCCCCCATTTCCCAACACTGTTTGGGTTGAGACTGTCTTTAGCAGGCCTGAGCATATCTTTAGACATTCTTGCTATTTAGACATTCTTGCTAGTTTTATTGAAACAGTGAGTGTGAAAAAGCTTTTTTTCTGAACCAGTTTTCATCTGGGGCTCTGAAAGTACACACATGCTCAGCACCTGGTCTTGGTAACCTCATGCCCTCTCTTGTCACCCAAGTGAATTAGGGTTTTCTGTGCCTGGCCCTAAGCAGGATTCTCAGTGGGCACTCAGATCCTATCTGGGGGCTTGGGATTGTTGCTCATTGTCCAAACCCACCTGTGCAGCTTCTTAGAGAGAGCCTGGCAACCTCTTTGTTACTCTTCTTAACGTCTTGTTCATTCTATCCAGCAGATATTTGAGTACCCTCTAAGGGTCCAAAGCTGATGTTAGCCTTTTTAGCAGTTACAGAATAATCAGTAGTTGTCAAGTTTGCCATCTTACTAAAGAGACAACTTGTAAAACACGAAAACAATTAACTCAAGCAATAAAAGATCAAGTATCAAAATGAGTTGTGGAGAAGGTGCTATCCGGAATAATCCTAGAAAGAAATCAATGAAATTTGCTGTGATTAGAATTATTTGAATTTGCTGCTCAGGTTATAGTCGTTTGGGCCTAATGCCTTCACCGGCAGATGTATCCTCTTGCCTGGATATGTATAATATGTATGGTCTACTGTATGATTTTGTGTAACCCACAAACTAAGAATGGTTTGTACATTTTTAAATGGTTGAAAAAAACTTTAAAATCTTGAGACACGTGGTTATGTAAAATTCATATTTCAGTGTCCATAAATACAGTTTTACTGGAATATAGCCACATTCATTCATTTGCGTATTGTCTGGATGCTTTTGTGGCTACAATGATAGAGTTGAGTGGTTGTGACAGAGACCATGTGGCGGCAAAGCCTAAATTATTTCAAATCTGGCTCTTTACAGAAAAGTTTGCTGATCTCGGCTTTCTTACACTGACAGTTGGCAAACTAGCGTTGTATTATCCGCTAAGTCGGTTTAAATGTCTTAGATTGGAATTCTATAAAAAGTTCTCTGCCCTGTTGTGACATCCAACTTGATAGATAATGAAAGATTTTTAGGTGTTTCCAAAGAAATCCACCTTTTCTATCCTAGTTTCTAAAAGTTTTGTAATTTTTCATCCAAAGCAAGTCCTTGTTCTTTTTTTTCTTTGTTAGATCCCCTATTTCTGTCCATACAACTTCTGCTGGTGATAACACATGACAAAATTTTTGGGAGTATTTTAAGTGTATTGTGTAAGAAAAAAATCTGAGTTTGCTTCAAAACTTGAGAATTAAATAAATGGTAGTTTTGGAGGATTATTTAACAGTGTTGGTTTCTCTCTTGTTTTCAGATTATTTATGTAAACCCGAAGACAACATCTACAGTATTGATTTTACCCGCTTCAAAATTCGAGATTTGGAGACAGGGACAGTACTTTTTGAGATTGCCAAACCTTGCGTTTCAGGTAGGCCTCAATGTTGTAGTGACCAGTAGACAGTTTTGAGCCAAAGGTCTTTGAAACTCAAATCTTGGTGTGCCACTGCATCCTGTTTCTTGGACTCCAGTGTGTCCCTCTTCTGTGACTTCTTCCCGTAGCCTGGCCTGCCAGGCATGGTGGTTTGAAGCTGCGTTCAGAGGCTGATGTTTGTTGGATGTCTATTCTATGCTGGTCACTGTGTTCCACATCTTTATGCACATCAGTGTATGTAATCCTCACACCTCTGTGAGGAATTACTGTTATCTTCATTTTACAGCGAAGGATCTGAGGCCTAGAATTCCCAAGCGACACTTTCCTAAGGCCCTGTGCTGGTTCATCTTATGTTGCTTCCAGTTGGGAAAGGAATCCTTGAAATTAAACTATAATGAGGAAAACTCACCTGAGCTTGGAGCCCTCTTGGAGGATGATAGGGAGGATTCTGGTCCAGACATGAGGCAGTTTGAGCCATCTTCTCACTCTCCTTTACGTAGTGCCTTGGATTTCCAGACTGTTTAATTTTTTTTTTTTTTTTTTTTTTTTTTTTTGAGGAGTCTCTCGCCAGGCTGGAGGCAGTGCGCATCTGGTACTGCACTCCGCTCCGGTCCCATTTCCTGCTCGCCTTGAGTAGCTGGATACGCCACAACCGCGGCTTTTTTTGTATTTTAGAGAGGTTCCTGGTTCTTCCTGATTTAATCCCCCTCGCTCCAATGCTATTACGTAGCCCCGCCCACTTGTTTATTTTATCTCAACCATTTTCTGGAAGAACAGACCCAGGAGCTCAACTACTTGGGGTTCCTTAAATTAGCCTCTGATAACTGCTTCCTGTGCTTGTGATAAAAAGTGTAGGGGTTATTCATTCCGACCAGGAGACCACAGAAGCCTTTGGAGCACCTCACTGGAGGTTTAGCGCCCCCTGGAGTTAGTCATTTGTTAGAATACTGGTACAGATACTCATAGTATCAGTGTGGTTTCTAAACTTACTTTGCAGTGTTTCTCATCTGATTTGCTACTTAGAGCCTGCAAATTTGATAAGGCCCCGATTTCACCCCTACCTGGTGGTATTTATGCTCTCATAATCTAATACTGACCAAGGCACCTAAATGCTCAAGTTCATGGGTAGTTTTTGTTGTTGTTGTTGTTGTTTTGTGGGTTCTTTTGTTGTTGTTGTTTGTTTTGAGACAGATTCTTTCTCTATCACCCAGGCTGGAGTGCAGTGGCATGATCTCGGCTCACTGCAACCTCCACCTCCTGGGTTCAAAAGATTCTCCTGCCTCACCCTTCCAAGTAGCTGAGATTACAGGTGCCTGCCACCACGCCTAGCTACTTTTTGTATTTTTAGTAGAGACAAGATTTCACCATGTTGGTCAGGCTGGTATCGAACCCCTGACCTTGTGATTCACCTGCTTTGGTCTCCCAAAGTGCTGGGATTATAGGCTTGAGCCACTGTGCCTGGTTGCTCATGGGTGGTTTTTTATTGGGATGGTCACATCAAGACTAGCTAGCTTCCTGGGTCTATGGTGTTCTTATCCCTAAGCCACATATCACAGTACCTGGGACATTTCAAGGACTCCAGGCCTACTACAGGTATGTGGTTTTGGATTAGACTCAGAGTTGTCATTTCAGTATAAGACAGAACTGTTTCAAGAAGGTCAGCTAAAGATACTGTAAAGTATCTTGGTTTTCAGTCTTTCTAGTTTTTACATTTAAGGATCTTGATTCACTTGGAATATTTCCCACATTGAGGCTGGGTGTGGTGGATCACACCTGTAATCCCAGCACTTCAGCAGGCTGAGGCAGGCGGATCACTTGAGCCCCGGGAGTTTGAGACCAGCCTGGGCA